ACCAAGCGCCTTTGGAGAGGGCAAAAATATTGGAATCAACAAGCACCCTTAGATGACGGTACCCAATAGGGCTTTTCAATTATCCCATCAGCCTGCCCAAAATTTTCGCTCCGATATTTCCTTTTCGGCATCCTGCCTCCCGAGCATGCTGTAAATCCTTCATTAAGCCCCCCACCCTCTAATACCCGCCCCCCCCCCCTTTTGAGGGGAAGCAAGATTTACGGTACTCTCAATCCCGATTTTCGCCCCCATTTTGCTTTAAAATCCAGAATCCCGGCCCTCAAATAAGCGAAATCTCGCATCCCGAAAAATCTGTTGGTAAACGGCCCAGGTGCTTATTCCAGGATCGACAGACTGTCTTACTCGAGAGGGGCCAGAATGATGATATTGAAATTAAAGTAATAAAAAAATCATTAATCAACAAAAATGCGTTGTGCGTTAAGACAGATTAAAATTTGAAGGAGGCTGGGAGGGCACTCTTTTCGGGGTAGGGGAAGGGCATTTAATTTGATACATGCAGATAAAAGAACATTGCAAGCACATGAAAATAGAGATAGATAACTGGAACTGATTTGGTATCTCAATATACATTCTCACAATGTTTACAGGCAGGGCTCTCAATGAGGATAAATCACTTTCTTTCCCAGAGGGGGCGGGTGACTCTCATATAAAAGTGAGGGCGATGCTTGTCAGAAAATTCAAATGAAACCCCAAAGGGAGACCAAGGTGGGTATGGCTCAAGCTTAAACTGACCCTAAGGGAGATTTTTGTGTGGTCAGTGTCAGGGCCTTTTTTGTAAACTTCTTCATGTACAATACGGAACAATACCTGAATGGGCAAATATAACGACTTTCCATCCTAAACACTCTATGTGGGACCAAAATCTGCAATTTACACTGCAAAGCGAGACGATTAACATTTCCTCACTTTTATATGGGATTCCCCACCTCCTGGGCTTTTCTTATACACTGGTAATAAGATCTCAGTCCCTGTAGATCACCCACGGAAGACAAAGGATGCCTTTGGCTTTTTAGGAATTTATTTGTAAAGCATACAATACAGCAGCTTACTGATACTGTTCAAAAGGAAACTACAAAAGAAGAGATATTTACAAAAGGCTATGTAACAGATTGCAGTTCTTTAAAGTGGATGACGTGTTCTCTTCAATTTTCCTTCTATCTCCGGCCTGTTTTTTGTGTGCTGATATATAACACTGTAACAGAAAGGAGAAAAATATCATGGCAGTGCAAGGAGCATTGTCCTAAGCCAGAAAGAATTCTTACTCAACTTTGCATATAAGATAATTATCCTGACTTGTGTTGAAAATCATACAAAAACACAAACACTCTTGCTCCAGTGATAATGATATTGAATGATATTTTCTTTGTCTTCAAGTATCCATACTAGGCTGATTTAGCAACAGAGCAGGAACATACTAAACTTGACTTCCAGTGCCCAATTTGCCACTCGGCCATTGGTCAAACCAGTTGTTTCATTTGTGTGCACCGTCATCAAATGACGTTCCCGTTTTGTTGCTAAATCAGCCTACTATCTTAGTGACACCCCTGCAATTATGTGCATCTACGCACAACTCTATTTGTTGTGCTATGGTTCTATATTTTTCCAGTCCTGTAACAAAAGGTTGACACTGAAAGTACAACATACCATTGTTTCCTCTTAAGAAAGCATCTCCATACTTGTTCTTCAGCTAAAAATAAATTCACAGATGAAATTTATTTCACTAATGGAGGTGAAGTTTTTTTTTTCAAGATGAGTTTGTTCCTTTTTATCTGATACATACAAAGTTTGGCCAAAAAAGTACCTTCCTAAGCTTAAATGCCTTTCCTTTTTTTCTTTTTTAGAAAAATAGAAGTTTTCTTAGATTTTCTGTGGTCTCTTTAAATGATGATAAAATTTTAAATACCACAAGTTTATAGTTTTTATTTTTAATATCATAAACAATGCAAAATAAAAAGCGTCACATCCTGTCTATTTATTGCAATTGGCTCCAAAAATTCTTGAAAAATCAATATCAACAATAGTAAAATTTATTACTGACCAATTTTGTCACTAATCTAACTGATCCGCACAAAACATTAACCAAAAATTTCCGACCAGAACAGAAAAGAGGGCTTTTTCACCTGGCCATTTGCATACTCTTCTGTTTGTTCAAGAGCGATGTTCATGTAACCATCAAGGCAGGCTAACACCCCTAAAAGGACAAGTAAAACGGATGCCTGATGAATATCATCATCAACATCATCATTATTATCATCATGACCATCATTCAAGAATCATGGTGACAATACACCACTGATACAAGGCAAATTTTAATGCAGCACACACTCTTAAACAACTTCAAACAAAGGCTGCCACGTGTCTAGTGACTGATGCTTCACACTTTTAAGCTGAAGATAAGTGTTGATGAATTGTCCAAACCTTGTGCTAGGGTTTGAAATTAATGGTTGTCTGGTTGTCTGGGGCAACCAAAAATATCAAGGGGGCAACCAATTTGCTGATCAGTTACCCCTTGGACAACTCAATCTGCTGAGGCATAAGTTCCTAAAGAGAAATACTTGTTGCAGCTTTTCGCCATGGAAGGGTTCATGATACCTAAAAGTTAGTTGAAAGTAAAACAAATGCAGAAAAAATAGACTCCGAATTCAATGTTTGGCCTTCTTTAAACAGCAGTTTATGTATATGTTGTGGTTAAATTTTATCCTTGGTTCAAAAAATATTATATTTTCCTTTGTTTCAAACTCACTACCATTGTCCACAAGTTGAGCTAGCATGAGATTCTATCTCCAACTGTGAGACTCAGATCTAGAAAGAGTTGGTAGGTACAGTGTATACTATGCTGCTTTGAGAGGACTGGGGGCCGGGATTGCAGCATCAGTAAAACCCCACGTCTATCAGGCTATTGCATTTAATACCCGTCCCCCCTGGTTGAGGAACCATGGAATTCTTCAGGGGTAAGTTGTAAAAACTGAGGATTTCTTTAGGGGTAAAGTAAGAAAATATGGAATTCTTTGGCGGTAGAGATTTCATTTTCATGAAATTCTTCAGGGATAGGAGTAAGGACCACTATTCTTTGGAAGTTTTCGGGAATTAAATGCAATTTTATTTAGTCTTCAGGGGTAAGAAGAAAAGGTAGGTCCTCAACCGGACGGGGGGGGGATACGGATATTAAATGTAATAGCCCATTCTAACCCAAGAATCATGTGTATCAGTGCCAGGTTTGTTAGGGACAGCATAATTAAACTTGGAGGATAGACTTTACATCATTTTACTGGGTAGAGTAAAAAAGAGGTACAGGCTGGTACAAGATTCCACAACACAAATTCCATTTCCCTTACTTTCTGGATCTGTAAAAGGACCATTTCATGCAAAACGTTCGAGTTTCGAACAAACGTTCATACACATGCTTTTCACTCACAAGCAGAAAGCTGTTGCTTACCTCGATAGTCGACGCCATTATTAAGTTTTACCACTACAGGACGGCCTATGATTTGCTTTAAAAAGTCACTAGGTGTTTGTTTTTTGCTCATTTTCAAATACTTTCACTGGAGGTAAAAAACGGATAACGTACAGCGTGGGACAACGTTAAGTATCCAAGATGGCGCCCAACTTGGACCCAGTACTTCTAATTAGCCCACGAACTCACGAACGCCGACGAACGCCACTACCCGAGAGTACCCTCTCCCCTCCCTAGGCATTTTCCCCACTCCCGGAGCCACCCGGGGAAATTAAAGAGATATCATATGAATCTTTTTCAAAAACTTAAAAAAACCCCTTGTTTTCTAAAGCTCTTGCCCAAGAGGAAAAGGAACAGATGACACTCGTTGGAAAGAGAAGGAGGAAGGAAGAATCCAGAATCACGAGAAATCCAAAAGTAGCTCGCGCGAGAGAACACCTAATAGGCGGAGGAACACGGGAAGCATCGCAATAATTCGTTGTTCATGTCGCAAAAAAAAAAACAACAACAACAACAACAAAAAAAACACTTGCTCTTTATTGGACTTGGATCTGTACGGGGAGCAAATCGGACGCTTTTCCGAAACAAGAGGAGTTTTATTGGGACCCTAAGACTAGAAAAAAGTAACATGTCAAGTAACTGCTCAAAATGTGCCGGGATTTTTAGAGGACAAAACTGTTAATACAGTATCAAACAGGAAGAGGAAAACTACAATCATCACAGGTTAAAACAGTCTAATCGCTTTATTTGAAATAAAGTTATTATTAGCATCTTTCTCTACAATTGACTGTACGTATGTAGATCTGGCTGCCGCTCCATTCACGCATTCACCACTTCAATCTTCTTTACCAGACCCTCTCCAATAGTCTGAAAATCTGTTAAGACCGCTGATACATTAGGAACGACCAAACTGGGAACATGTTTGGACTGAAATAAATACAACAAGACAAAATAAACAAATTACCACTTTTGCACGAATGAAGGAAAACTATCAACACTAAGGACCTTAATTTTCAAAGTATCCCATAAGCGCCGTAAAATTCCGAAAATTGACCCCTTTGTATAACCCCCAGTGCCTTATACTTGGCAATTAACCGCAAATATACCAACAAAATAAGCCACACTAAATCGGAATACCTATAGGAACTACTACTAGGAGTAATCGATTTCTATGAACTTTGACACACCTTATGAAATTTATCAACGGGATTAAATTTTACGGGGTACTTCATGGTGTTGCAGACACCATTAGTGGTTACTCATTTGCGTTGTCATTTATAATATGTAAAGAATTTCAGTTTTTGTAAAGTTCTTGCTGTTGGGTTTGACGTCGATGCCCCAATATAATCGTTTGCACATTGCAAAATTGCTGATACAAATCTCCTTTTCAATTCGTATGAACCTGGCAGATTTTGAAACGTAAAATCGCCCTCCTACAATAAGAACCTCCGTATATGAGCCCCTCAAGGCCGCCGAGATTATCATCAGCGGAATTTTACGGTAGTACTTCAGTTATATAGCGCCAAAGAAAGAGTAAACACTTAACGACTTGCATGCATAAACTACAAGTCTGTCGTTCTTATCAGTATCACCGGTCGGATTCAATCACAGGTTTTGGTTACTTTATCACCCAACCTTTATTGATAAGAATCACATACTTGTAGTCGTTTACGTTAAACATATTATAAATTGTTACTAACCTTTTCACTTGATTTGGCGTTGTCTAAAGGCATTTTGTACTGAGCGTGCAGCACCTGGTGAAATTCAAGGACAAGAAAATAGACCATCAGAACACAGTTCTATTTTGTTCACCCTTTTACAGTCGAAGCTCTCCTTGCAACCACTCTCATAAGCGACCGAGCTCTAGTCACGAACACCTTTGTGAAAGCCCGTTTGAACTGCGGCTTAAACTTTAAACTTTGTAATGAAAAGCTCTCGTAAGCGACCGCTCCCATGGGCGACGGCGACCACTTTTGAGATTACCCAGCTGGACTTTTCCTTTGTTTTTAAGCGCTCGTAAGCTATCCCTCACAGTCTTATTCATATCAATCAAAAAATTGGAAGCAAAGTTTAGCCGTGTCTATATCAGATATAAAAACACTCATTAAACATTATTTTTTTCTTTTTTCTTTATGAATTATTAATGAGTTTCTGAAGCTCTCGTGAGCGACCATCCTCTATTGTTTTACCATGCCATGCAGTCGCTCACGAGAGCTCATTCTCGCAAGCGACCAGCTCTAGTTACGACCACTTTTTCGAATTTCTGAGGTTGTCGTTTACGAGAGCTTCGACTATAGTTGTTATATTTCTTTTTATACCATCTGTCTTTTGCAGCCTAAGGCCTAGGCCAAACGTCGAACTTTTCATGAGACGAACCGAACTCTATTTTAGGTCGACATGAAGTAAGTTAAGATCGTCTGTTAGGTCAGACGTCGAACTTGGGACGCGTCGAACCAATCAAATGAATCAGAACTACCGAAAAAGGCTTAATATACACTATCATACGAATTTTTGATTTAGTAGTTTAGTATATCGCGTGTGAACATCGATGTTTGTCCCGGAGACGATCTTCAGATGTTCTATCCGTCTGAAGCAGACGGAGAGAACGTGTTGGACGATCCAAACTCATTCAGACGAACCTAGCTGAGCCAGACGTCGAACTTTTCACGGACTTAACTCACTTAAGTTTTCACACGTCTCTTATTTCCCATGCTGGCTACAACTGGGGAACAATATTTGTCCCTGCATCACTACTCATGAAATGTAGATGGCGTTCGACATACTAAAGTAACTTAGAGTAGTTAATACCTTAAACTGAGCTGGAACAAAACTGTGGGGCTTCCATATAACTCCAACAAAGTCTCCTCCAAATACATCATAAAAGAAGAGGGCGATGTCCGAAAAGGCTTCCTGAAAAACGAAAATAATACAGTAAATTGAAAAAGGTCAGGCGTCTGAGGGTTTTCAAAAGCTGTTTTTTTTTGGCATTCAACTCTTTCTTTCCCTAAATTCTGTGCAGCTGTTTCAGGTAGAAGGATACTGTATACAGGCAATCTGTCCCAGAATGTGCGTGTATGAATCCAATATGACGTCTCAAAATGGCGCCCCTATCGAAGAGATTTGAACTTCCATTTCTCAGAAACCAACGTATTATAGAGCCCCATCCTTTGGAGATTTCTAAATCTATATCTAAACTTTCATATTAACGAAAAAAAAAAAAGAGTCGAGGTACTTTTTGAGGTTTTAGCGTTTGTCTTAAGAAGACATGCAACGTAGTTCTGTCATTGAAATGTGCGGATAAAACCTAAGTATGACCATATTTATATAGAGAACTCTACAGCACCTTCCTAGTAACATTGATATTCAATATTTTACAAGAATGAAAGTTGTGATTTCAATAATGGCTTGACACGAGTACTTTGCTGATCAGGAAGAATAAACATTTTTGACATTTCAGTGAGCTCAGTGACCGCGCCTGAACCTTATTCCGGCGTCTCCTGTAAAAAATTGGTAATTGGAAACTTAAACGGAGGCGACATTACCCCATATGTCACTCGGTTAGTTCTCCATCAGAAACTAATTGCTCACCTTGAGTTCTCTAATATACAACTGAACAGGGTCGAAGTTCACGACCGGAAGTAAAACTGAGTGACGCGATAAAGAGGCTTGTTCCGTCACCGGTTTCAAGCGATCGAGCGCCTGGTTTCCACGAGGAAGGAGGCGGCTGTGCAGGTGAATGATGACGTCATAGTGATCCAATGGAGGACGGAAGATTTGCTAAAATATGAATACAACAATATGAGAAGTAATATAACAATATCAGTGGTTCAGTGATTATAATTTAAGTTCAAGTGTTTTAGTGACATGGCTTGCGAGTACAGCCGACTCTCATCGTTCACGTAGGCTTTATTACTAGCCGCTGTTCGGAAAATGAGCCCGCGTAACTCCGTCTCGACCCAGTAGAAATTTACGGGTACCATGCGTTTCCTACCTTAAAGTCTGTCGTCTGCTGCGCACATGTTTCAATCTGTTGTTTCAAAAGCGAGTGAGATTCCCTTGCCAGCAAGGAAAGTCTGTTAAGAATCTGTACAAAAAAAAAAGAGAGAACAAAACTTGGGAAAAGAAAAAAAATCATAAACAACAACAACAACAACAACAAAAACAGAGAAAACTGATATGAATCACTAACTTTTCAAGAAAACAGTATTATGCAGAATACATCACGGTAATTGAACTGAGTGGAGTGTAATTTGGTCTGAAATCATGCGCGTAATTTTAAAATGGGACGAGCGCACAGCGCGAATTCGATTTGAAATCACAAGTATGATTTCAGGCCAAAATTGCACGACACAAAGTTAAATTACCACTTTACTACAGCCATTTTGAAACCGTACAATTCAGTCAACACCAACATTTTATTGCTGTAGTAGCCGGTTTGTTGAAAAGTGGACACAAAAAGGCTCTTACATCTCATTTGGTATTTGAAACAGAAATAATGTGATATGGTGCAAAAATACTGCGATTTAGAACAGATATAATTCCATTTAGAACAGATGTGATTTCAGAGCAAAAAATATGGTGCGATTCGTGAGTAAATCACACTACTTGGAGCCAAACAGATTGCAGGGATCACCAGTGATTTCAAAATGGATATAACAAACAGAACAATCAGCTCTTACCAGGAAAGGTAAAGCGGTATAATTATTTGGTAACTGAAAGATTTAAAAACAAACCTGCGTGGTAGGTTTATCCTTGGTCCACAAGGAAGTAAACTTGTCTTTAGGAGTTGCAATAAATAAAGTCGGCAGCTGTGCTCTGTTATTTGAGAACTTTGAGGTTATTTCCTGGTATTCTTCCGCTGAGCACAGAGAACAAAACTGATCAATGTCAATGAATGCAGACATAAGATACTTTTTTCAAGGAAATTCTGTAAAAAATATATATATTTGATGAGAGAAACCTAAGATTTACTTACCGGAGATGTCGTTATTGAAATTCAGGACGATAGGAATGGAATGCCAGTCAGTAGAGTAAAGAAGGTGAAGGAATCGGAGAAAACCAACGAGAGGAGATCTGCAAAAAAGGATTTTATAAATTGTGTGAGGAGGC